GCATGTCCTACCAAACACCCTGCGTCAAGGCGAGAAACGACATGCTACCTACGTCATGTTACTTTGGCATGGTGGGGAGAGATTGGAACTACACAGCCTTATGAGGATAAGCTATCCTTTAGTAGTGTATATTATCCTTGAGCAAAATGAGCAAACTCTGACACGTGAAAAAAGATAAGTGATCACGTGACGTCCGTCAAAATTTGATCTTTTTGAAAACAGAGGCAATTACCGAACCCAGCCTTTTTCCGTTCACATCGATCTCCAGTTACACCCGAACGCTTACTTATCTCAATTGAATTGGACAATGTGACAATGAAAAAGGTAGGTTGGTGCTTCGAGGATAATACACACTACTACTTCAGGATAGCTTATCCTCACAGGGCTGTGTAGTTCCAATCTCAAGCCCCGGCCATGCCAAAGCACCAGTAATGACGTCAGCAGCATGTCGTTTCTCGCCTTGACGTAGGGTGTTTGGTGTTTGCACCACAGGTTATGATTTCTCAGGCTTTTGCTTTATGCATACCTGTGGTGCTTTCTCGGGTCTCAAAGTTTTGAATCATTTTTCAAACTGGTTTAAAACAGTTTCATTACAGCAAGCTAAAAAGTGAAAAATAGGTAGTTTAATTTCTTTTCGTTGAATGCTTTAGATGTGGACCATGGGTGGATAGACCTACTAGAAACAGTTTATCTAAAGTTTAGAAGTTCTCGTTACCTACAGTCTACAACAGCCCATCAAGTAGGTAAACTGGGATTGTCTCTACTTTCTAGTACACCTTTTGAATATAATACCGGGTGATTTACGTAGTCCGTGCATTACCAGGTAAATTGGGTGGTATTTATGCTAATCCACCCGCAAACTGAACAATTTCTAATGCACGGGCTACATAAATCAGGCTGTATACAAGGGAAAACGGCTTTCGGGCTTCTGATACCACTCGAATTTGAGTGGTATGTTGCGGTTTGTTAAACTGTAGCCACGTGAGAAGGGCTCGGGAAAATTAATGAAAGTCAGGACAAATAAAACTTGGCAAACAAGCAAAAAAAAGTTGAGCTAGATCACTCAATTCAGCTTTCAGAAACGGAATAAGGGATTGGTTGGAGGGTTTTTGTGTCTTCGTGTTCAAGAACTATAAAATACCCGAGCGAGACAATAGAGGTCTGTTTCTGCAGAAATCACAAACCAGTCAGAGCGAATTTCATTGGTTGAAAACAGTCAGAAAACTAGTTTTAACCAATGAAATTCACTCTGACTGGTTTGTGATTTCTGCAGAAACAGACCTAATCCCTCCGTATTGCTGGGTCACACTAGCATAAAGCAGTGCGCCCGTTCCAGAGTGTTTGTTTAGTTCAATGCTGATGCATGGTCAGGTGTGACGCCAAAAACGGATGGAGATAACATGTGCATACCAAGGCGATTACGAGAAGTAATCTAAAATGGTAGGGTAGATCCAATCAGCTGTTCCTAGGTTCACCCGACCCGAGTTATACTTTTCGAACGTGTCCAGTCGAATGAACGTATCATATTCTCATTTTTTTACCTCCAGCTAAAATCTTGTGATAATCCTCCTCTGTGGGGAGGATGTTAAACTCCTCTTCTGTGTAAGGGTCAATAACAGCTATTTGCACCGGTGTTCCTTAAAAACAAACTAAGTTAGGTAGAGGCTAAGCTTGAGGTGAACCTTTAGGTTGAGTTGTTTTGCACCGACCAAATCTTAGCTAAGAATTGAAAGCTATTGGCAACAGCGAAAATGCGTGTTTCAAGGCAGAAATGAAGGAGGATGTACCTATTTCAAGCAAGGAATTTATCCGTTAACCTATCTTTGCGATTAAAATATAAATATTTTCGTTAATTTCGTCTTTTCTTTCATAAGTTATATCACATGGATATTATTTTGAATATATTTTTTTCATTCTTGTCCAAAATTCTGTAGAAATTACCCGACGCACAAAAATAAAAGCATTAACAAATAACTAAATAACAGCAACAACCATAAAAAAAACTTCGGAAAACTTGATTCTGCTATGAAAATATATTTTTTTTTTTGCTTTAAACATGCAGTCTTCGGAGAAAAGGCTCTTGGAACCTTGGATATTACAAATACAAAATCATCGATAATCAAAGTCAACCAGAATTCTGTCAAAAAAAGAAAACAAAACCCAAAAATGAGGTTAGAATCCAACTAAGCGGAGAAAATCCGGGGCTTAACTTAACTAGACTTGAGGTGGACCCTAAACAACGGTGCAAAGCAAAATCGTAGTTTAAGTTCCACTTAAGACTAAGGCTGACCTTAAGTTGTAGCGGTGCAAATAGCAGTAAGTGTTCTTTTCTTTTCTGATTCTAACTTTTATTGGAAAAAAAATCTCAAAAGCGATCAGCTGATTAAGGGCGGGTATTATAAAACTACTTTGAGAGTTAACTTTTAAAAAAGTTTGCCCCGAGTCGTGGATCTGATCCATTTTCGGACGCAGGTCGTTTACTCGATCCATTTTCGAACGCCCTTTGGGAGATCGAGTTAACCCCGGGTTACTTTTCGTAAACGCCTCTAGTAGTGTAGGAACGTTGCTACGACCGCTAGTGCAAATAGTTGACGACTTAGTTATGACGTCGGAAATGGTGACACGCCAATATGGGGCGTGTTTGGGTTGACGCTCGGCGGACCGAGCAGAGCGATTACGGAGTAACCTGACGTCACAGGGAGTACACCGTGTCAAGCCAAAAACTTGTGCAAAAAATGCTGGGTTGAGCGATCGGCTGATTATTGTTTATTTTTCTTGGCATATATTTTTTGGAGTTCGAGCCCGCATTCCGCATTTGCACCAGAGTTCTCCCGTTTGTTTTGCATTTTAGTTGATAATTTTCAAACAGCCCCATTTTTTTTGTATTCTGCAAAATATGTCTGGCTACATAAAGGCCGTTTTACAGCTTGCAAGAAAACTTGAATGCCATTTTTTGCATGCAAAAAAATAGCCTTCAAGATTTCTTGCACGTCGCTTTACACCTTGCAATTTGACTTGTTTCTTTCTCTAACCTTAACCATACTTTTTTGTTTTTAATGTTGTGTTGTTGATTTTTGCATTTTCCAAAAATAAAAAAAGTGATTATTAAGCCTAGTAGTCATAACTGCGAAATTCGCATTTTTTTGACATTGCTTCGACAAATTGACGTTTGATACACGCATAAAACGTCAAATTGTCAACGCAATGTCAAAAAAATGCGAATTTCGTAGTTATGAGTACTAGGCTTGAGTCGATATAAAAAGTAGAAAGCAATAGCAGCAACTTTAGATTGCAAAAAGAATTGCAAGCTGTAAAACGGCCTTAAACAATAAAACGGACCTAAACACTCTGAGGCTGCCAAGTTTCCTTGGAAAAATATGTTCAATAATTAGGCATTCCAGGGCTGCGTTCAGGAATGGCTATAGCCAAGCCAAAATTGGCATTTTGCGTTCGAGTTCGGCTCCAACCTACGTGGTTCGGCATTACAGGTGGAGGGGGAAAAGTAGGTTTTGGCATTAGCATTGCCGTCCTTGAACGTACCCCAGGTTAATGTCATAACCGATCCGCCATATTAGTTTGGGGGCACACAAAAGCCAAACATAACCTGATTCAATGTTAAACCAAGAATTTTCAATCTATTTTGTGAAGATGCCTTCTTTTTGCTGCGTTGTTAGGTGCTCTAGTAGAGCGGAAAGAGATAAAGAAAGGTTTTTCAGGATCCCAGCAGCATTAAGAGATCTAGGGAATCGTCTAAACGAGCTAAAAAAGGAACGACGAAATCTGTGGATTAAATGCCTCAAAAGGAGAGATTTAACTGAAACGTTTCTGAAAAATGCTCGTATTTGTTCAAAACATTTTGTTAATGGTAAGTATTATGACTGTCTTGTTGTTAAAATACAAAAACACATTTATATCGAAAAATTGGTTTGTTTCTACAAGTAATATTTACTTTTAATACCTTTTAGGTAGTCCAGCAGAACTTGAATAACCCTTTATACGCCTTCAACTGCAAGCCTGTGTAGTAACTGTGGGTGTGGGTCAAATATTCGAATAAATCCAAAATTGAAACCTCTGGCAACTCATTGATACTTAAAGTAAACTCATTAGGTAGAAGTTTATAAGGATCTATATTGGCAATTATTTGTATTTTTTGGTCATACCGACATTTCACATCACTAGCTAACGATGAATAATAGTCAATGTTAGCCATTCTACCACAAAAACAACTTAAAACTTATTGAAAGAATTTAAGAACGCAAAAATTCGGAAACACAATCTGAAAGAACGGTGTAAATACTGATCTAGGCTTTGTTTGCCCCCCAGCGGACCTGTCAAAGTCACGTGACCTGGAATGCCTAATACCAGTGATGAGGACTATCGAGAAAATTTAATTAAAAGCATACAATTATGCAGAATTTACTAGCTATTTGATTGTTAACATTTAAACAAAATAGCTAAAACTATCCACCTAACAAGTATTATATGTTAAAATTCAGGATTGTTTATTTATCTTATCATGGAAAATAGGTTAGGTTATACAGACAGATTAAAGACATGTGATCTGCGCATGCACGCTCCAGCTGCCCACCCCACAAACTCGGAGTTTATCGAGCTCGCTCTGAGCGCTCAAAATATGTCAAACCAAACACAATCAAGCGTTGTCGGAGCTTCAAAAATAACGAAAAAGAGACAAAAGTGCAAGCTCTGAGTGAACCGAGCGTGAACCCAAATGCGCCCATGGCGGTGGTTACCAAAAACGAGGCCGATAAGCATTCCTTAGTGAATTATTTGGGTGCTTCAGTGGCCGGGGTCCGGGGACGAGGAAAACAAGAACAGCTCCGGAGAGCGAAATCTGCGTAGACGAACGGGCCAAATCGCGGACGAAGTACTTCGGAGTTACTCTGGAGTTCTCAAACTGTGGCACTCGAAAGCGGCTCTGGTGTCGATTGACACCCAGGGACGACAGATTTGTCGTCCGGTCCTGTCAGTCCAGTCAACGCCTACAATCTTCACTCTTCAACTTCTTCCCTACCTACGCAAAAATGAAATAATGCAATTAATATGGCGTCGCAGGAAAGATGTATTAGTGTTCATGTTGATTTTTCTTGTTTTTAATGAAAAATTGGATATAACACGTGTTAAGTTCGTATTAAAATATAGAACAAAATGTGAATAAATCAGTGCGAGAAAATTTATGGCGAAAAAGCGTTTACTTATGAGTGACAAAGCTATATAATAGTGAGTGGCTTGTTTATAGCTATGGCGTCTAGAGAAGAGACAGAGACCAATGGTGAACAGAAAAATAGGGGCTTTTTCAATAAGGAGTCCAAGCACATATCTCAGAATAAATGTACAGCCTGTGATCTTTTTGTTTCAGAGTGCAATTGTAATTTACAACGAAAACTTTTTCGTGTTGAATTGGATTTGTCAAATGGAGACAGCAGTGTCAGTAGTAAGTATTTTTTATTTTGTAAACAATGCTATTATTGCTATTGAAAGCGTGTAGTTTCATTTATATTGACTACACAAAAATGGTATATATCAATATACACATCTCGTAAAAGTAGTTTCCATCATTAGTTTGGACTTATTTGTTTAACCTCTTATTTAACTTGATAATAACTCATGGTACTTGCAATTATAGGAATTTTCAAGGCTACTTTGACATTATTAGGGATTTCTTATTTATACTTAAAGTTTGCCAGTTAATTGTTGAATTGCTAAAATTCAATTTGAAAGGAAATAACTATTAAGTCCAAGCATTTGAACTTGAAGCTCGAACATATAGCCTCCAGCATGCACGATTTGTTAAATAAATTTCAATCTACATCTGGTATAATCGAGGGTACAGTTTAAGAAATTGTCAATAGGTAGGTACCTTCCTAACTACAGAGATTGAATCATTGAATCTTATACTCAAAATGGCATTTTTTATAATTACCTACAGAAAGTTGAACAAATAATATCAGTGTAGTGAAAATTGAAAAAAAATAATAGATAAAGTCTTTTGTTGCTAATCATTTTATGGAACAAATTTGGTGAACATTGTTTTATATTGTTTTGAATTTACTATCTTTACGTTACTTTATGTAAGTTACTCTTATCTCATCCACATCCGCAATAAAATGGTTTTGTTCACACAGTGCCTGTGCTATCTCCTCTTCTGACAGGTCTCCATCAAAACCCACAACCGAGCCCACAACCTTCACTCTGGGTTTTTTGAGTAAGTATAATCTCATGAATTTCATAGTTGTTCCCCAAAGTTTTTTCGGCTTCCGCCTTCAGTTTGTCTAGTTCCATTTATGTTTGACATTTAATAATTACACTTCCAGTTTTTGTTTCTCTTGTATTTTTCAGTCCAATCTGCAGTTGTTTTGGCTGTATTTTCTTATAAAGTTCATCCTCGAGTTCATCTTTAGTTTTTCCTGAACTTTGCTGTTTCTTTGGTTTGAAAATGATACTTAAGCCTAGTTCTCATGATGCGGAATTCCGGATTGCGGGTGCGGAATTTTTGAAATAATTCCGTTGGCGGGAAAACATCAACTTTTTTGCGGATCCGCAATAAAGTTGAACCATTTTCAACTTTCTTGCGATTTTTTTTTCTGTTTTTGTCTAAACATTTCTCATCTTTGTTTGATTTCTACATAAACAAATAAACTAACCTCAAACAAAAAACAAAACAATTAATACCTAACAAAAATAAATTGATCTGCTTGCTTGTGTGCTTGTTTTATTTTCAAATACATATTATTACGGCAAACCCCTTGTTCATGCCTTTTCAGAAGAATAACATCTTCCTTTTTTTAATATTCCTCTGTTATTCTGCTTCTTTGATGAAGTTTCATGCATATTATGGATTAATAGCAAACCCAATACTAACGTATATTGGGTGGTAGTCTGAATAAAAACGAAGTACTTGCTACTACTACAGGTAGTAGTATATTCTACGAAGTATTTACTTCACAACAAAGGATTTAAAATCTGTTTTTTTTTTAAGATAAAAGTCAAAATGACATTATGTTGGCAATACAATGTAAAATTGTCAATGATTTCAATTTTTTTATGTAGAAAAGGCTTGTGTTGCCAACATAGTTACTAAATTTTTGACTTGGGGAATTATCTTTAAAAAAAAAACAGACTTTACTAATTTCCGGTAGTTTCGAAATGTAGTATCTACTTCATTTTAAAGTAAACACTACGAAGAATATACTACTCGTCGTAGTAGCAGATACTTTGTTTTTTTTTCATACCTCCCTCTGTCTTTTCCATTGATAATAATTTAATTGTGCAATATAATTATCCATCCAGGCACACAGGAAAACAAAAACAAAAAATATGTTAGGTTAAGATCACATGTATTTGACATAAAACCGCATCCGGAATTCCGTTTCATGTGAACCATCAAAAATTACGATTTTCAAAAAACTGCTATTTCCGGACCCGCAATGCGGAATCCCGCACCATGAGAACTAGGCTTTAGAATATTATTGGTTGGTTTATTTTTCTGTTTATCTGTTTTTATTATGTCAGCATAATTTAGGTTAGATTGTTGTTACCTGGGCAGCTTCTCCTTTAAGTAGCGAAGACTCCTCAAGTGAGATTTTTATAAATTCATTTCCTATTTCATTTGTTCTAACAAGTCTGCTATGTATAGCATTCTTGCTATAAGCTTCCTGCATCCATCATATACAAACTACAGTATTTTTTTCTGTAGAGGCATGCATTTTTCTTTAGATGCAGGAACATTGGCACATTTCTTATGTAACCCGTTCAAGCAGGAGTCACAATTGTAGAATTCTTCATCACACCGTTTTTTACACTTCAAGCAATCCTTGTCTGGCTCATCCATTTCATTGCAGGAGAACAGAAAAAATAGCAAACAAGACAACTTTTTCGCAAACAGTCAACAATTCAGGCTTAGCCCCGCAATGTGACCCTTAACGTGGTCGCACATATGTATGCTGCATATCGAGCTGCATATGAATATGCAAATTCACTTCTTAACACTGCCATTGATGATTCAATCACTAGATCTTTCACTGGAACATTTATAAAAATTTATTAGCGCCAAAAACACAGATTAATTGCAGATATTGTAGGGCCGAAATTTAACAAATGACAAATGTTTACCATACTTGAGTGATGTTGCCATCGCTATTAATATTATTTTCAGTTTAATGAAATTCCTTACATCAGTTGGAAATTATTCAAAAATATATTTTAAAAATTATCTTCAAAAAAGAAAGGCGATACCCAACTCATTTACTCTTTTCTGAGGACATTATCTGTGTTCGTTCCCTCTATATTCTTAACATATGCTCATTTGTACATAAAAAAAATTGTTTAAGAAACTATGTAGACCATGCTTATGCTACTAGGACTAGAGATTGAAGTTTACCGGTTATTTTAATTTGTTCTTTCTCAGTGGTAATTTACTGGTAATTTTGCGGTTATTTTGGTAATTTTGGTAATTTTGGAAATATTTCATGATTCATGAAAGAAACAATTATGACTATATACTATACCTACCTATACGTTCAAGGATTATAGATTTTCAGGATGTTTTACCTAAACACCCATTCTTTATAAATTATAATATTGTTTTTTGTAAAACATAACCTCATAGAAATATTACAATATTTAAACAAATAAACGAAAAACAAGCAAAAAAAATCAGACAAAAATAAAATAGAAATAAATTCTCCTTAATCTGCCCTTTATAAAGTGCAAAAAGAAAACAAATAAATAAAATGAGTAATGAGTTGAATAAGGATAGCATAAGAGATTTTTTTGGGGTTTTTTGAAAATTTCTATCGGTTTTTTTGGGTTTTTGCAAGAGTTGTGCTTCTGTAGGGTTTTTCTTTTTTAAGGTCTTTGACATTCCAAATGATAATCTCTAACTCAGAACTCAACAAAAACCAACCAGGTTTTTGAAATAGGTTTTTCCTATGAGCACAATGTTTTAAGTCAATATATAGGTACTGTACTTATTTTTCACTTCAAATCAAATTACTATACATATATCTATAGGTACTATTTTCCATTGAGAAAACCTAGATCTCACACAGATTTTTTGATCAATTTTTGATAAATTAGATGTACAAAAATACTTGTGGAAAAACATTACACCTAACTTCTGCGGAAAATGTCTTTTTCACCCTTGACAGCTTGCCAACTGCAGTCGCGTGGGGAAAAGCACAGAGAGATTCACAATTTCACAACAAGATGGCGAATAATGCATAATAATAATTGCTTTATTTAGACTTCATCTAATTTAGTACAAAAAATTTGATACTATAAATATTACAATACAAGAGATATAATAATTAGTTCACCTAGTAATACTACCGTCTTACAATGTGGAGATCATTGGACAAGTCTGAATTAACAAAATACAGCACAAATTTTTTTTTGAGTAGGATTATCGCCTGAACGTGATTTCATTCAGGAAGCATTTCTGAAAATTACCGGTAAAGAAATTTGTCGGGTTAAATTACCAAAATTACCGTTACCGCGGTAACGTTACCACACTTTAATCTCTAACTAGGAGTAAAGTCAACAGGCACTTAGCTATTCCAAATAGTAATAGAAATATTAATTTACGCTTCATAAACTATTTGGCTCCAAGATGTTATAACTTGCTTCCTGGTGGCATAAAACTTATTAAGAACCATAAGAAATTCTGTGCTGAATGTAAGAGATACATTTCCAGGAATCTCCAGCAATTTATGATTCTGTTTTGATTGAATCTCTTGGGAGTTTATTCTCCTTTCCTTAATGGGTAGGCTACGTTAGTTTAGTTGTTAATTTAGGAGTAGATTGGGCTAGTTCTTAGATTATGAAAATAAAATGAACTTTTTTTTAGGATTAATATTGTGATGTTGTTTGCTGTTGACAAACAATACACAATAATTATCATATTATTATTTACTAACAAATAAGTTAAATTCAAATGGCACATACGGATGTTAAGTCATCTAGGTGCTGGATATACTTGTTATTAACCATATCATAAACCTGTTACCATTAAGATACAAAATGTGAACATGTATATAACCTTACGTAATATAATGTCTAATGTCTAATGGAAATCTTCAGAACAGTACCATTAAGATACAAAATGTGAACAGTACCATTAAGATACAAAATGTGAACATGTATATAACCTTACGTAATATAATGTCTAATGTCTAATGGAAATCTTCAAAACAGTCCATGACATTGGACATTTTGCGGTGGTTTATCTGAATACAGTAGAACCCTGATTATCCGAGGTACGCGAGTCTATGGTCCCTATTAACCTTCTTCCAAAATATACATATTTACATAATATGTAGATCTCGATGAAGATACATATTTCCATTCAAAATCATTGGTGCCGACGGCCCCTATTCATGTTTTCGGAATCTTTTAGCATGTGAATTTGCGTAAATCTGGATTATCCGAGTTTTCAGTTATCCAAGGAGTGTGTGCCACTCGAGGTGCTACCGCATTTCATCAGATAACCGGGGTTGTACTGTAATTTTATTTAAAACTACCAAGCAGTGCTACTGCACACTGATAATAATAGAGCCCATCAATAATAATAGGTAACAAAAAACAGATCTACAATCTAAGTTAAGTACAAATTAATTAAACTTTTTCGGCAACTTCCTTGACAACTGCAGAAAAACCGGAAAAACTAACTGGACCGTAACTAGTAATAGTCAACTTAAATGTTTTTATTTATACTTAACTAGAATTTTTCATAATTGATTTCCTGTTGTTAAATAAGATTAAAGAAAATTCGAAAAAACACTGGGTAGCTAGGAATATGCGAGCTTTGCACTACCTCAGGAAGTTTTTCTCTGATAATGCCTTTTTGATATCTTATTTTTACCAAAACCGAACTAAACTGCTGGACAATTGCTTTCGAACAAGGTAAATATCGCCTAACTTTCAAGATCGATATTTTTGGAACCAGAATAGATAACGACCTGCGGTTTTCACGGGCTGACAGATTGACTTTTTGTGAAAAAATTGCTATTTTGAAATTTTTTTAAATGTCTACTTTTTTTTTATACAGGGTGTTAAAAGAGTCCATGTTTTTCATCCCAATTTTGAATGTGTGTAACTTTCTCAGATAATTTTTTAAATTTTATTCCTATGCGGCGTTTTAATCAATGATCTTCTGCAAAAAAAGTAATTTCTCAAATTTTTTATACCTGCCTTATTTTTAAAAATATCAACTTTTTTCATAACCTCCACTTTTTTCAACTTTTAAGCACCTAAACCATCCTGTACATTAAATCTTGCATCTTATGCTGCTGTTTGAAATACCCCACGATATCCTGGTTTATTTTCAATGAAAAAAAATTACTTGAATAATGTGGTGTCCAGTAGCGTACTAATAATCGCCCATTTTCGGAATAATTTATTTATGGCTCACCGAATTTTACATTCAAAGGTGCATAATTTTAAAAATAATCATTTGAAGTTTCATTTGTTTAGTTCACTTTAATCATTGACATATTATTAAGAAACCAATTTCTCAAAATTTTGATATTTGCCTTTGTTTTTAAAATATCGTTTATTTAACATAACCATATTAATTTTTTCGATTTTTCCGTTCTAAACCATCCTGAATCGTTCTTACCGGTGAATTTTTTTAGCAATTGTCATACCTTTCAGCCAGCGTATTTACTATAATTAAAAATATCGAATACCTCAATGATATGCTGTACAGTGGCGTGCAAAGAGAAATGATTATTTTTCATTAAGATTCAACAATGACAGAAATTGTACATAAGATGGCAAGATCTATGAATGTTCAGCGGGAAAGTGACTCAGTGTGCGAAGCCTACCGGTTGGGAAAAAGGGAGGATGCCCCATTGTTAGTTAAACTCAAGAGGCAAGAAGAGAAATTTTCATTCTTTAAAAAAGTGAAAGAGTTGAAAGGCCTGAATATAGAAGCATCTGGATTGGAGGGAAATAACAATAACAACAACAAAATCTTTATAAATGATGATTTAACACTGCAGAATCAAAAACTTTTCAAAAAGGCCATGGATTTTAGGAAACTTCATAAGTTCCACTCAGTATTCACTCGACATGGAAAGATCTATTTGAAAAAATTCCAGACTGGAGATCCAACCAAAATTCAGAGCGAGGAAGACTTGAAAATTGAGTAGGTAGCTTTATTATTGTTACTTAATTACGTAGGGTACTAAAAAAACATTAAAAGACTGATAGACTAATTCATGGAAATAGAGGTTTTAAATGATATTCCTGTTGATAGTAAAAAAATTACTATCACACCTAATGCTATTCCTAACATAGGTCAAAACCATTTTAATATTTTGTTACTTAACATTAGAGGCATAAAAACAAATTTTGATAGGCTTCTTGTATTTCTTGAATCATATAATTTAAAATGCTGTGATATTATAATTCTAACAGAATGTCATAATTTGATGACAACTTCACTGTGTAACATACCGGGATTTGATATCTACTATGATCAGGCAAACTTTAACACATTTGATGGAGTGCTTATTTACACTAAATGTTCACTAGGCCCAGTGTTTCACACGGAGAAGCTGATTACCTGTAAGATAAGTATCACTAACATAACTTGCACCATTAAAAATACTACAATGAGCTTAAATATTTGTTATCGATCTCCAAACTCTAACACAGTAGACTTTTTATATGATCTAAATGCATATCTAACAAACACAAAAAAAGCACACATATCCTTATTTATGGGAGATATAAATTTAAATATATTGAATAGTAATGAAAACTTGGTTAATGAATACATCTCAATACTGAACGTACATGGGTTTTTTTCTCTATATGAAGATGTTACTAGACCAGAGTCAAAGACGTGCCTGGACCATATTTTTCTTAAAACAAAAATAAAGGAGAGCTTAATTAAGATAAAACCATATATTATTGACTATGATATAACTGATCATTTGCCAGTATTAACACAGTTTTCTTTCAACGATAATAGTAATTGTGAAAATATAAATAAAAAAAGTCATATTGTTAAAAAACTAAATTATGAGAAACTTACTGATTTGGCACAGAATAAAAACTGGGAAGAAACTCTAAATTACCCCGACCCAGACACCGCATTAGAAAACCTAATGGAAAATATTTCTGATATAGTACAAAAATCTTATGAAGAAAAAATTATAAACACAAAATTTAAGAAAATAAAACCATGGATCTCAAATGGTCTTATCATCTCAATAAAAACAAGAGATAAATTAAAACAAAACTTAAAAAAACACCCTACCCCAGAAAACCTTACAGAGTATAAAAGCTATCGGAACAAATTAAACAAGCTAATCATTCAAACAAAAAACAACTATTACAAAAATAAAATATATGAAAACAATAAAAATATTAAAAAAATTTATAAACTTGTGAATGAAGCTGTAAATGGGAACGGGAACCACAGTAAGACCGATATAAGCAGCCTCGAGTTGGAAGATGGTAAACAAATTGCAAACCATAAGGATATTGCTGATAATTTCAATAACTATTTCATAAACATAGGCTCAAGAATGGCTGATATAATAAAAACACCATCAACTGCATTCAAACTAACAAATCCATCCCCAAACTCTATGTATTTAAAACCTGTAACACAAAATGACTTAATTAAACACATACATTCGCTGAAAAATAATTGCTCGCCTGGCAAAGACGGAATAACATCAATAATAATTAAAGCCCTCCATGTGTACATCCTGAAACCACTTGAATACATTATAAATCTTATATTTCAAACTGGCATAGTGCCAAGTCAATTTAAAACATCAATAGTTAGCCCCATTTTTAAGTCTGGCAATAAGCAACATATGGAAAACTATAGACCAATAAGTGTCATTTCAAACCTTGGAAAGATTTTTGAGAAATGTCTCAAAGAAAGATTAGGTTCTTATTTTGAACAAAACAAGATTTTATCAAAAAATCAATTTGGTTTTACTCCTGGGGTTGGTACAGTGGATGCAATGTATGAGCTGGTACGCGATATCACCAAAAATCTGGACGACAGAAAGAAATGCCTTGTGGTATTCCTTGACTTATCAAAGGCAAATCAAATCAAATCAATATTGCTTTATTGTAGGAAGACATAGTCTCATTTACAAAGCTGTGGAAAATAAACTACACAATCATAATATCCATAAGATCCAACTTCCTAATAGATTACATATCTTGATAACTAGTAATAAAATTCTAATCACTAAACAATGAAGATAAAAACAAAAATAAAAATTAAAAACAAAAACAAAAACCAAAATAAAAACAAAAACAAAAATAAAAATAAAAATAAAAATAAAAATAAAAATAAAAATAAAAATAAAAATAAAAATAAAAATAAAAATAAAAATAAAAATACAAATAAAAATAAAAATAAAAATAAAAATAAAAATAAAAATAAAAATAAAAATAAAAATAAAAATAAAAATAAAAATAAAAATAAAAATAAAAATAAAAATAAAAATAAAAATAAAAAAAAAAAAAAAAAAAAAAATAAAAATAAAAATAAAAATAAAAATAAAATTAAAATTAAAATCAAAATCAAAATCAAAATTAAAATCAAAATCAAAATCAAAACCAAAATTAAAATTAAAATCAAAATTAAAATTAAAATTAAAATCAAAATTAAAATTAAAATTAAAATCAAAATTAAAATCAAAATTAAAATAAAATCAAAATTAAAATTAAAATTAAAATTAAAATTAAAATCAAAATCAAAATCAAAATCAAAATCAAAATTAAAATCAAAATTAAAATTAAAATTAAAATCAAAATCAAAATTAAAATCAAAATTAAAATTAAAATTAAAATAAAAAAAAAAAAAAATAAAAAAATAAAAATATCAATATCTACCTATAAATGAATGAATATCTAGGGTGGCATTAGCTAGCTAGTCATTTAAACCTAATTGAAATTATGGGAAAGGAACTCATCAAAACTGTAAAACCCCTCCGCAGCCAAGAGTCTTTTCACCGTATTTCTAAACACCCTGTAATCTACAATTCGTCGAATCTGGACAGGCAACTTATTGAACAGCCTTTTACTATTATAAAGAATCGAGTTCATGGTTAAAGTTGAAGAGGGAATGGGCAGATCAATGGTAAACGAGCTTCGAGTATTTACAGCGGATACAGAGTGTACCAGATTCAGGTACTTCCTATGCATTAAGCACACAGACTCCAATATGAAAATGCTATAAGCCGTCAGTATTTTTTCAGCTTTAAATGTAGGCTTGCACGAGTCTCGGAGTCGCAAACCGAAAACACATCTAATAGCGCGCTTCTGTAACACAAATACTGACTGGAAGAGGTTATGAGAGCAAGATCCCCAAAAACAAATGCCATATCTTAGATGGGACTCTATAAGAGAAAAATAAACATTCTTTGCGATATCGGTATTTAATTCATTTTTTACAGCCCTGATAGCGAAGCAGCCGGAAGACATTCTAGAGCACAAATTGGAGATATGAGTCCCAAACTTCAGCCTACTGTCAATGTACAAGCCCAAAAATCGGTTTTCGCTCAAGTTGTTGATAGGCTGACCGTCAATTGAAATGGAATTATTGAAATTACCCTTAAAGTGAATTAACACGGTATCACACAAGATTTTACTAAAAGTGCTAGAAAGATATGGAATAAGGGGAACTACACTACAACTATTAGAAAACTATTTATCACATAGAACACAGTTTACTAAAATAGGAGATTGTATTAGTGAGCCAGATACAGTCAAAATGGGAATACCACAGGGAACTGTTTTGGGTCCTTTGATGTTCAATGTGTATATAAATTCTATAAACGACTTAAATTTACCTGGCAAGATAATATCCTATGCAGATGATACTGCTATCATATTTGTTGGGGATACTTGGCAAGAAGTAAGGGAGAAATTTCAGCAGGGCCTATCATCGGTTAAAGATTTTCTAGATAGCTTTAAACTAACATTGAATGGTAAAAAATCAAAATACATTGCATTCTCTATAAATGATAGCAACAGACCAAACTATCAACAAATTACCATAAATAATATACCAGACTCAATTGAAGAAGTGTCCAATTTTAGATATTTGGGTGTACACATTGACAAAAATTTAAGATGGGACCATCATATTTTATATTTAACAAAAAAGATAAGGGCACTATTACATAAATTTTATATGTTGAGAGAACTCCTCACCAGAAAATTATTAATTTTAATTTATAAAGCTTTAATTGAGCCGCTGTTGAAATATGGGATTCTGGTGTGGGGAGGCGCATATGAGAGTAACATCAAGAATTTAAAGACTGCACAAAATTCAATAGTAAAAATAATTTTTAAAAAACCAAGACTTTTTTCAACAGTACAACTTTATAATGAGGAAATTATAGACATAAAAACCATCTTCATATCGACTTGCTGTTCCCACATCCAGAAATACCATTACAAACATTCTATAACGAACCATAGATATGAAACCAGGAACAATATAAATCAACAACTAATATTACCTAAAATAAATCGTGACTTAAGTAAACATTCTTCTACGTTTTTGGCACCAAAATTCCATAACTTGTTGCCACTGGAAATGAGGAACAAGAACTATCCTTTAAAAAAATTCAATAAACAGGCATTGACTTACATAATAAAAAATAAACGAAAGTTTTTCTAAACACGAAAGACATATACTTCATGGAAGTGGCGTACTGTGTTGGAGTTTGTCTGAAATTATTCAGTTCTTGTTTTAATTTAAGAAATTGGCATATTGTAGGTACTTTGATATATTTGAATTATTTATTGAAATGTTTATTGTTATTATTTTCTTTTTTGTTATTTGATTCTCCTAGCTATAGCTTTAATAATAAATTTAATTACTTATAGTTTTTGGCACACACAGATGCATAGACATCAAGGTGCCAATTTATTATTATTGTTGAAATTACAATTTAATTGTACAGCTTATAATTGAATAAATTGAATTGAAAAAATTGAATTAAATCAATTTTATTAGCAATTGTTATATCTTTCGATTAGCGTATTTTTATGATTAAAAATTTCGAATACCTCAATGATATGCTATTCAGTGGAGTGCTAATAATTATTTATACCACTGATAAAATTTAAATATTCGGAACCGATTTCGTTGTGGTGAGAGGAA